TAGATCCTGACCTTTTGATGAAGTTCAGTTTTATGACTTTTGATTGAAAGTCCATAACCTTGATGCCGAGCTACCGCATTAAGGTACATAATCCCACATCCCATCGAGACGAATTCCTTTCCAAAGATTGGTGAGTGCATAAGTCGGACCGGTTTGGCCCCTATAACAACAAAAAGTCAAACCATCAGGTCATGAATGAACCATTTTGATAGTAACCGAAAGAGAAAATGGGAAGTACCAATAGCTGGCCAAAAATGATCTCGTTCGGCTTGAAGTTCTTCCAGTAGCTTATCCTCATCATCCAAATCTTCGGCAACATCTTGAGTGACAGGATCGAGATCTTTGACCACAGAAACTCCACGATTATCAGGTGACACTTTAAAGGTAACAGTCGGTGGCACCAAGGCACTCGTGGATGGTGTGGCTGCTTCGTGAGTAGATTTTCTGTCCAAAGTTGCCTGACTAGATGTATTTGTAGTGGATGCTTGTGATTGACTTGGGCTGGGATACGTGATAGGTCTTGGAGGTATCTTTGGTGGCAACAGAGATCCAGAGGGAGCTGGTCGATATTGGTATGGTGGATATGATGGATACGATGGAAACGGTGGGGGTGGCTGAGGCACATAAGCATATGGCCAATATCCTGACCCAGGCGCATCCGGAAAAGTGTTGTTCATGGGGTTTCCGGGGTTCCAGAGGGGAAGGGAGTAGTACGAGGGATTTGGAGGTGGGTAATGAGTTGGGTACATATAAGGTGGAACGGGTGGGAATGATCGAGGTGGTGAGGGTGGAAGTTGAAGTTGAATTGGTGGAACCCGTGGTGATTGGCTAGTCCCTGGGGCAGTTAGACTGGGGACAGAGTTTTTTGAAGACAAGGTCGACATGTGTAGGGTGTCCGTGGCCAAAAAGGTCGAAAACGTGAGTTGATGATTGTCAAAGGTCAGGTACACGAGATTGAGTCGAAGTCGATCGGAGGTAACCAAAAGAACGTAGGACGGCTGTGGAAGGGAGCAGTCCAGTCAGTTGATGTAAAGGAAAAGGAAACGAGAGGGAGAATTGATTGAGAGTCGAATGGATCCAGTGAAAAAAACAGCCACGTACCATCTTGAGACGAGTTCTATTGGACGGTATGGTGAACGTTTGCGTCGGAGCCATAGTTAGGCGCCACCACGAGAGAGAGAGAGGTGTGAAGTGCTGAAAGAGGAAGTAAAGCGAGAGGAGGTAAGTGTTGGATTAGTCAAATTCGGTTTGGAAGAGGGAGTGCCCGGTTTGATCATGCTGTACAAGATTGTGTATGCATGTGAAAGCCCGGTTTGTGACCGGTTTGGGACTTGTAGTGCCCGGTTGTGTAATGGCGAAGCCCTGATTGAAGAAAGAGGGCACTCGAGTGAGTCAGTGCCCGGAAATGGCTGCGGCTGCGGCGAAATTTGGCGGGAGCTGGCTAGATACCCGCGGGTAATGTACCGCAAAAAGCGGGCATTGGGGTTTTTGAAGGCGGTCGCCAAATAGTGAGCTCCTAAAGTATAGTATCACATGTGCTTTCCTCTTTATACTTATGGAAGGAAATGAAAATTTTATTATTTATTTTTATTATTAAAAGTGTAGCTCTTCTGGCTCTTCCTGCTTGAGAGCTCGGGAGCTGACATTCCCCAACCTCAAGGGTGTAATTCAATGACGCCCCCCAACCTCAGGGTGAAGTCTTACTGTCACGTTTTTCTGCCCGGAACTTCCGTAGAAATTTATCTGAATCCGGTATATCCTTGGCCTCTAGCCATTTATCCTTGTCCGCCTCTTTGCCTTTGAACCGTGTGAGGTAAAGTCTTGTGCTTTTTCCATGAATCTTCACTACTTTATCGCTGATGACCTTTTTGATGGCCCCGATTGGTTCTTCCTCCATAGGGGGCTCGCTCTGGTCTATAGGTGTCCTGTTCGGGAACTTATCCTCGTCCAATTTCTCATATTTTTTCAAAAGAGAAACCGGAAATGTTGGATGTTTTTGCGCAATTTTCCCTGTCAAAATCACTTCCACTGCATTACTGCCATGAAAGGCTTTGATCACATAGGGTCCTATAAAAGAATCCTTCATCTTCCTAGGTCCTTGCAGATTCGTAAAGTTTACCGTAGATATCAACACTAGGTCTCCAATTTTGAACGTCGGTTCTTTGTGGGTTTTGTCCCAGCGTTGTTTATTATATTCTTTGGCTGCTATTATGCAGTCTCTGGCGTGCTTTCTGGCTTTCTCTAGCATGTCATGAAAGTCTAATGCCGTCGGGTGAAAGGTAGAGTCTTTCGGTTTCAACATCTTTACCGGTGTCCTGATGTTGAACCCTCTCTCTATCTCGAAGGGAGATTTCCCTGTAGTACTGTGCGTACTTGTGTTGTATGCAATTTCTAATGCTGGGAGTAAGCTCTTCCAGTCATGTGTATATCCATTATTGTCTTTAAATTGCAATCCGAATGCACAATACCTCCTGATAAGATCACTCAGGCTCTCAATCATCCTCTCGGCCAACCCGTCCGTCTGGGGATGATACGCTGTCGACATTGCCAAGGAAGTTCCTGCGAGACTAAACAAGCCTTTCCAAAATTCCGAAGTGAATTTGGGGTCCCGATTGCTAATGATCACTCTTGGTAGCCCTGCGTCGGAGATTATCCTTTCCCAGAACAGCATCGCCGTATCCATGGCTGTTGCATTCTTATGGCATGCTAAAAATCTGCACCTTTTTGAAAATCTGTCGACTACTACTAAAACGCAGTCTACACTATCGTGTCCTGCCGGTGGTAGTCCCGTGACAAAGTCCATATTAATGACTTCCCACGGAACGCTTGGTTCTTCAATATGTTGAAGGAGACCTAGTCTTTTGCCCATGGCCCGATTGGCTTTCTGGCATCTATCACAGGAGCTGACGTACTCTTCTGTTAGCGTCCTCCATCCTGGCCACCAGGCTATCTGCTTCACTCTGTCTATCGTCCTCTCGCTGGATAGGTGTCCTGACATTACGTCATCGTGACATATTTTAAGTATGTCGGTCTTCAGCCGTTGCGAAGTAATTACCATCGCGCAAGAATGTTTTTCTCGGTGATAAAGGATTCCGCTCAGCAGAGTATATCTGCCTTCATCAAAAGATTTTTTCCATTCCTTGTCCAAAGAGGACGCGAGCTCCAATGCCTTGCCCCCTTGTTTCATGATTACTAATAGCTTCACTGTATTCGGTTCCTCAGTATAGTCATTCTTTACCTTATCATAAAATTCGTCTGATAAGTCCGATATAGTGATTCCCATAATGGGTAGGTCTCTGCTGGTATCATCTGGATCCCACGCTGGGTTCTCAACGTTATTCTCGAGAGCCATTCTGCTCAGCGCATCTGCATTCTCATGCTTGCGTCCCTCTCTATGTGTTATCGTCATGCATGACCGATATTCTTGGATAGCTATTTGCCACCTGAGCATATGCCGATTCGGAGTCTTCATGTTCAACAGCGATTTCAACGCTGTGCAGTCTGTGATTACCTCGAAGAAGGCTCCATCTAGGTAATAGTGAAACTTCTCTAAAGCCCATACGAGGCATAGGTTCTCTAGTTGAGTCGCCCCATAGTTGAGTTCTGATTGTTTCAGCTTCCTTGATATACAACTAATCAAGCCTTCGAAAGGTTTGTTGTTTATAATTTGAATTTGTTGTAATGTAGCTCCTAGTCCATCGAAGCTGGCGTCAACGTACACCTTAAATGGTAACTTGAAGTCTGGGTGTAGAAGAAATGGGGCCTCTGTAAGCTTCTTCTTTAGCAGTTGCCATGACGCTACTCTATCTGCTGTCATCTCGAACGTAACTCCTTTCTGGAGTAGTTTGTACAGTGGCCCACTCGCCTTAGCGAACCCTTCCAAGTGTGATCTATAGTAATTCGCGAATCCTAAAAAACATTGGACTTCTTTAACGGTCTGCGGAATTTGCTTCTGAAGAACCGCTGCTACCTTGTTTTGGTCGATAGCTATCCATAAGCCCAACACGACATGACCAAGGGCTTTCAGCTCCTCAAACGCGAAGTTTGTTTTCTGTAGTGATATTGTCATACCTAAATTGACAAGTTTCTTAAAAACATGTTCTAGTTTCGTTAAATGATCCTCCCATGTTTTAGAAAAAACTATAATGTCATCGATATAAATGATCATCCAACCTTCGCTAAGTTCTGTTGCGAATTCAGTATCCATCATTCGTTGAAAATGTGCTGGTGCACCTTTGATCCCGAATGGCATTTTTAGGTATTCATGGATTCCCATGTGAGATATAATTCTTAGTAAATATCGGCTAAATTCGTCCACTTGATTCTGGTGGAACCCTTTCATGACATCCATCGTTGTGATGTATAATGCTGCACCTAGATTCGTCAAACAATGTGTTATCCTTGGCATAGGATATCTGTCTGGTACCGTAAAGGTGTTAAGCGCCCTGAAATCACCACACATACGTGATTTCCCATTATGCCATGCTATAATGACTGGTGTGGTGATATCCACCTCCTCATCTGCTCCTACTTTTCGTAAGATGCCAAATTTCACTAGTTCTCCTATATGTTTCTCTATTTCATCTCTACTGCGGGGACTGGCAGGGTACGCTTGTTTCTTCAGGATTGGCGGATAAGGTTTTTCCACATTGAGTTTCAACTTCAATTCATGTCCTCTAATAGTTCCTATTGGGTTGTCTCCATACGCAAAAGCTTGTTTGTATTTTCTCACTACTGTTTTCAAAGAATGTAACTCCGTAGACTTCAGTCTAGGGGAGATATTACATTCATTGAATGCTTTCTCAAAAGTTTCATCTATCTTTGTAGATACTGTTGCTATGTTCCGGTTTGTCCGGTGTCCCAAGAGGAACTTCTTCTCTTGT